GTAGGTTTGAACACAAGCCTGTAATCTCATCACTGGAGAAACTAAAGCAAGAGAACCTTAAACTAAAGGCCAGCCTACCAAGCCCCTACAAAAGCATGCAAGCAAGACCATCAGTTCACAGGAAGAGACACTTCAAAGTACATAAAGATCAATGGGCATTTTAGTCTAGGGATTAAAAACAATCTAAAACCCATCATAATTAGAATGAGAGTTATTTAAATACAGAATTGAGGTTGAAGAGATGTAGGGTTGGGGTTAAATTCAATCAGTAAATCTGTCTCCAAGGTGGCTGCTATCAACTCCTTTCAGCTCTATCTTGAGGCACAAGCCATTTTCCCACTGAGAAGTAAAATCTATTTCCTTCATTCAAGACAGATGTGTACCTGGTTGCTTAAGCTCAGTCCTAAAGCCTTGCAGCTTTGGTCTGACTCTGGGAACACCTGATCTGGAGGCAATCTGATAATTTTGAAGCCTCTACTACATAAGGAAGCCCACAGTAGCCATGCAGGAACCACATGAAGACAGATAACCATCTCCTCCCTCCTATTCCAGCCATTACAAACCAGGCATACAATGGATGACACATAATGACAACCTTCATGTCCCTGCCAGTTATCTGACTGCAATCTATGTAAGTGACCCCAAAGAAAATTGCACAACTGAACTGAACCCACACATAATTCTTTTAAAACACTGAACTCTGGTATAGATTTCTACAAAACCACATATAAGCAAAACAGCTGCCTAAGCATTCACCTTTCCTTATTTTTCCAGCATTCTGTTAAAGAAACTTACCTGTTCTAGTCACTGTTCCCAAGGGCTCCATTCAATGCTATCGTTTAAGTGAAACCTCATCAAAATCTGACCAAAGAGGTGGCACTTCCAGTTTACGTACAGGGAAAGGACAGCGTTCAAGCCCCAAATCCTATAGTTCCGATCCAAATGCCATCGTCCCTTCTTCCTAGAGCCACGTGGGGGCAACAGCACTTCTAAGGGAAATCCCTTTTCTCCCCCTAAAGTCTTTCATACTCAGATGTCATTTTTGATTTATGTAGCAGCCTGCATGAATGCATAGTAGACATCTCTCCTTGAACGTTATAGCACTTCTTACACTTACTTCATTTTGCAGACCTCTATAGCAAGGCAGGTATTTAGTGAAGGCAGCATTTATGTATATGGCAATACACATAAATTTTCTAAGTATCTATACAGAAACAAGCTTAAGTAGAAGCATATTGGAGGAAATAAAGTTTAAACATCTTTATCTATTCAAAAGTTTGACTCTGTCCCTGGTCACCCAATTTAAAACGTTATCTCTTCATGGTTGCCTTTCAGCTCTCATCTCTTCCCTGCCTTACTTTTCCTCGTTATGCGTCTAAAACGATCTGTTTCCTAACACGTTAACATTAGATGCCAGACTGCTTTCATTTACTCCTTCATGCATGAATCCGTCAGAAAGCCAGGATAAGTAAATTGAAGATCTCTTATTCAAACTATGAAATTACCACTTAAAAATGCTTTTGTGGTAGCACACAGAATCCTTGAAGCTCTGTTCAGTTCTCGGCCACAACTTGTTGTAAGTTGACTCATTTTCATTGCTAATCATTCTCCCTCTAAGAGCACATGACAAAGGACTTGAGTCACCTCAGAAGCGCAGTAACAGGAATTGCAGGAACAAGGAAGTGTGATGGTACTGTAATCTCTGCTTGGACAAAGTTGTGTCAAACAACTCCGCTCTCTATTTTCCTTCCTACCGGATATAAGTCAATTCACATTACTTAATGTCTTTAATTTCCCTTTTGTATTGCCATATTATATCCCAGGCTACTGGCTGTACTGGTTTAGGCAAGGACTGTGTCACCTAAGTCTCCTGACTTCTACTTATCTCTTGAGTCTTTAGGAAGTTCTATATGGTCAGTCTCTGACTGTATTAAGCTTTACCCTATAGGGTAAATCATCATTTCAGATGACAGGCTCAGTGGAACCTAACCCTTGCTGGCTAAACAACGATAAAGCAGTCAGTGATTACTACTTACCCTAGCCAAACCCAGCACTTAAATAGCTAACTGAGAAAGATTTCAAAGTAAAGTTCAAGTTGCTTCTCTGGGGCATGCAGGCAATTTACTGAGCCAAAAATGAGGCAGTCATTTTTCTTGCCTGCATCCCAACCCCTCCTAACTCAACCTTATCACATGTTCATCTTTTACGGAAATGCCACTGCATTTAGGACTGGGAAATTCAAGCCCGACATTTGGAGCCTCTTCCCGCCCTCCCCCCTCCCCCAATTCTTCAATGCCCTACTCAAATTTCATCTCCTCTACACCATCTTCAGAATTTCTCTCCCAAATATCATCCACCTATCGTGTGCCTTTCTCCCCATCAGCCTGAGAGAGAGTACACGAGGTGAAGGCAAGACTCCGAGGAATATATTTGGCATGGTGTATTAGGCTTGTTGCCATGAAGTATGTGTTGAACTGTGCCCTTAACAAAACTGTGATGAAATTCACTGCCTCGATCACGACTTAGACGAAGTCAACCTCATGGAGTCCTGTATTGGCCAGTGAGGATAAAGGATCACACACGTTCCAGGCTTCAGAGATACGGGTGCACCATCTTGTTCTGGGCCTACCTAAACTCTCAAACACTTTTCAGGAACTCAATTCAAATGCCATCTAACTCCAAGAGCTCGTTTGGAAAACCTACGATAGGGCTCTTGCATAAATCCTCCACTGCCTGGAAGCACTTAAAATGAGACTGCGTTGAAGCCCTTTGAAGAGACACTTTGAAGATACCGCAGGCTGCTTACGATTATTTCCCCGTTACTACTTTTGTGACCTTGGGCAAATCAGTTTATGCTCTGAATGTCAGCTCCCTCGTTTGTGAAACAAAGCCAAATAGATACCATCTACCTTAACGGGATATAGTAAATTTTTAAATGTTAAAAATCCACAACCAAATCCAAAGACTCGGCCCATGCTCAATGACACTGATCTCCCTTCCTCGAAAGCGCCGGCACTGGGATTTACACTTAAGGGCCGAGAGCCACCTCAACTCGCGGGGCCTGGAGGGCGGCGGCCTCGCAAGGCGACCGGGAGCCAACTAGCCAGACGTGTCGTCCTCGGACTCGGAAGCGCCCCCGGCACCCCGCCTCCCACCGGGCCTCACCTTGGTGGTCGTAGACGCTAATGTAGGAGATCCCCACGGCCATACACCACACCACGAGGCTCGCGATGTCGGAGAAGCTGGGCTCCTGCTCCACCTCGGTGATCACCAGGCCCATGTGCACCGGCAGCTTCTGCAGGGACCGGCCGT